CGGTACAGCCATGTCCAGTCAGAGCTCTGCTGCTGCCAAAGGGAGTGTGAAACGTCTGTGATTTCTTCACTTGGAGGTACAGTAATACTTCTGGCATCTGTTCCTCAAGGCTCTGCAGGCTGGAAGTGAGTGCAGGCAAAACTGTCCCCTTCGGTGGGCCTCTCATTTTTCCTCTTCCTTAAGCAGCTGGCAGAGTTAGTGTGTTCCTGCAGGAGTGTGAGTTACTGCCACTCTGTGCCAGGGAGCAGAACAGCCCTTAGAGGCTGTGCAACAAAAGCAGCCCTGAGAACAATGCTTTGCAGCTACCTTTGAACTGGTTCCTGAGGAGGGCCGAGACATTGCTTTCAATTAACAAACATGACTTAGCCCCAAAGTGAAGCAGGCTCCCAGCTCCCAGTCAGGATGTGTGTGGTTTTGGTCTGACATCCATCTGAGCACATGATGCTTGGTAAGTGCTGGAGCCTCCGTTATGATTCATTGGGGAGAAACATGGAAAACAATGTCTGTTTTTCAAGTGTTGGAGAAATGAATTTAAGGTTGGAGTCATGTAGAATGTTGCTAAAATAAACCTGCAAGTAGCTCGAGTACCCCTGCTAGCAGGGAAGTGAGGGTGCTGCTTCTGGCTGGTGTCACTGTCCCACTGCCTGATGTTTGCTCTGGTTCTCACCAGTATTAATTGCCAGCTATTTTTGAAGCCAGTGGAATTGCACTGGCATCTTCACCACTGAACATGGAGTCCAAAGTTACATGTGCTGAGTTTTAAAACACAGTGGAGCTGGGGGATGGCAGGGCTGTTTGGACAGCTGGATTTATTTGTACTGTATATTTTTAAGTTATTTTTTAAATGTGGTCAGAAATCCTTCTTTGTAATTTTCTGCCCTTATGTTTGAACTAAAAGATGCATCTTGGTACTTTTTCAGTGCATGTGCAGTTTTTAAGCTAATTGCCTTTAGTCAAATATAAATATCTTAAAACACATGCAATTTTGCCCCTTCAGACACAGCATCTAATATGGAAACAAGAATGGCTTTTCTCAAGAATCATAATTTTTAAAAAGGTAACAAACTTTCCGTTTCTAATAGATTATTTTTAAAGTTAAATTTTAAACTACAGTTATTTAATAATGTCAGATTGACTTAACACTATAAATAATTTTATGTACAATTGTTTTACAAGTGGAGTCAGATGTCTGTAGGATTTGCTATTTATATTTCAATAGGAGGGACTCAGAAGTGCTGGTATATTTTCACAAGGGCAGAGCTATCATGTTACTATTCTACAGGGTGCTGTAAAATTTTCAGCTGGGCTCAGAAGAAGTATCTGCTGGGGAAGCAGAAGCTTCAGGTATTTTCTTTTTTTGCCAAGACTGTATAGTTGAAGGTAGATGATGAATTGAGGAGAGGACTTTTGACGAGTGGAGTATAAGCAATTCCCTGCCCAGAAGAGGAGTTGTTCTAATTTAAGAAGGGGGAATTATTTGCCTACAGAAAGGGTCAGGGTGTGGTTTGTTGAGATTACTGAGATAATTCCATAATTTTAGGTATCTTTAGGGAAGGTCTGCCTACTCTGCTCTGCTTCCTGGTGTCACACCAATCCCTTTTTCCAGTTTCTCGGTCTTTTCTTCCAAAAATCTTTGCAGAAATGTGGGGTTTGGGGTTTTTTTGTTTGTTGGTTTGTTGTGTTTTTTTTGTTTGTGTGTGGGTGGGTGTTTGTTTTTTAATACCAGTTCACCAGGGCTGTGACTTTTTGTGTAAAGTTAGGATGAATGAAATAGGTGCTGTTGTGTAAAATGGAAAAGAACTTTTGCTTGGGGATTTCAGTAGGTTTTGTCATCACTTAGGAGCCCTTCCCCCTTCCCTCCCTCCTCCCCCTCCTGTTAAATCCAGCACTAAGTTGTTGAAATCCCAGTTCTAAGAAAAAAAAAACCAACCCCAAACTGGTGTAGCTACATTTTTTGTTTCATTTTACAAGTATTTTTGGTGAAGGAAACCAAATTTTTCCTTTGAAAATCAGCTCGTGCTTATTGAAGTGCAGGAATTCTGAACAGGGATTATTTTATTATTATTTTTTTTCTTTGAGGCAGCACAAAGTGGGGACCTAGTGAAGCTGAATGTGAGTTTTGCAGCCTCCCAGTGTTATTTAAATTGTGCTAGGCCAGAGAGTATTTAGCTGAGAAGTCGGATTTTGGCTCCCAGCCAGCAGAGACACCGCATTGCAGCAAGAGGAACCAGCCACCTCCACACGGCCCTGCCTTTATCACTCCAGCAGGGATTTTAGCAAGGTCTTCTCATGTTCTTTCTTCCCAGGCTATCCAATGGCTGTTGTCCAGGCACAAAATCCCTCTGGAAAGGCGTCCTATTTATGCAGTCCCATGGCAGCCTCCTCAGGGGTGGGGAGGGATTAGTTTGTTGTGCTCAGTAGCTGTTTCAGGACTGTAATTCAAGCTGGGGCTACTGTACTTTAAATATAGAGCCTGTTGTGCTGCCCTGAAGTCACTCATTTGCATCAGTCATTATCTCAGAGCCCTGCAATCCTAAACTTCTTTCTCCTGCGTGCTGATGGGGCACAGCAGCCTTGGGAATTGAGATGGCAGCAGAGCTGGCACAAGGGCCCAGTGCAGCCCTGGGAGGATGTATTTCCTGGTGGTTCCTGTGCTGCTTTGTCATGTCTGAATCTGGCCGGTAAAGGAGGATTCAAGAAGTTCAGAGAACATCTTGGGCACCAGCTGCAAAACCTTAAAGGTTAGATTTGTGTGGTGGATTCTGCTGATCTGCAGCTCCTGATTTGTCATGAGTTAAAAGGGACGAGGGGGGCGGGAGGGATCTGAAAGATTACAAATTGTATTGTTCCTCTGTTGGCTCTTCCCTCGCGTGTCAGGGGAATTTGGCAGAGGGAATAAGCTGTGTCCTGAGGTTCTCAAGTCACTGGTTGCCTGGTGCCATGTTAACCCTAGCTTGTCCCATGGTAAGTGAGTTGAGTTTTGATTCAGGCAGCGATAACAGATTTTTAACTTGTAGAACAAGTGAGTCTGGAGCAGGCTGAGGAACAGCACTGAAGGCTTGTGATGAGTTCAGCAAAGGGCCTGTTCCTGAACACAGCAGAGATCTGGACCCTCACCTTAAAAAAATTATAGTTCCTGTAGCTCTTACCTGAGAGGGGCCACAAAGGTGACAAAGGTATGAGAGCAGTTTTAGCTGGAGAAAGTAGAACCTGGAGAAAAAAGGTTGTTGAAGAGGGAGATGAACTCAGGAGTGGCATGAGGATGATAAGCAGGGAGTGGTGGCTTTTTCTGTCTCTTCTAACACAAGAACTAGGGCAGTAGCAAACCAAGCCATTAGATTGTAAGTTGAAAAGAAACAAAAGGAGCCTGTGAGAAGGTACTTAACAAATCACCTAGTTTAACCCGTGGGATGCACTGCAGGAGGATGCTGCCCAGGCTAGAAGTTGACCTGGTCTCAAAAGGCACTTCAGTGCTGTGTGAGCAGCCCTGGCTCCAGGGGCAGTTCCCCCATGGGGACCCCCTTGGGTGGTGCAGGTGTCTGGGTGGTGGTGGAGGATGTGTCAGCACCAGTGCTGCCTTTATCTTGCATGATATGGAGATACTAACTTGAAGGTAAAATACAGTTACTGTTTCTAACCAACATGCAGCAATAAGTAACCATCAGATACATCTCAGCAATTATTTCATTTATGTAAGCCTGCCAGGGTTTTCATAGCATTTTTGTTGATAAGCTTTGGGGCTCCTTCTTTTCCTTTGTTGGCAGGGCTTTTTATCCCTGCCTCAGCTGTTAGCATTCCTTCTGGGAGACTTTCTCAGACATTGAAACAGGCTTCTTGGTGTTGAAATGTACTTTAATGTTGAATACTATTAATACATGTTAATTTGTGGTATTACAGAAAACATTTTTCTGTTTCTTTTCTGTCTCTGCCTGACAATCCTCTGATTTAAAAATCAGAGGAATTTTAATGATCATAGTATCAGAGAGTGCTCCTGCATATTAATTTGCTATGATGAGCTATAAAAAGTGGGGGAAAAAGAAACCCTTGTAGCTGGATTTTCCCATGTAATACACAGGACCTTTCACTGTTGCTTCAAGAGCTTCTGCAGACAGTGTGTTTTGCACAGGCCCAGCTCTCTCCTCTCACACCCTTGGTGTGTCAGACGGAGTCTGCATTTCCCAGAGGGGCAGGAGGTGTGGCAGGTGACAGCTGTGACCACCCTGGTGTGCTCTGGAGAGCAAGTCACACCCACCCGTGCTGGGCTGAGAGGTTCTGTGTGGCTGCCTCCACCAGTGGGAATGAAGAACCTTTCCTTGGGGTCACTTGTCTGCCTCTGAAGGCAACACTATTGCTGGGTGGAAGTTCTGGTATCTCACACATAAGTACAAAGTCAGTATAGTTTGAATTGCAGTGGGTGAGAGGTGAGCACGTCTGCTGAGATCTACTGTTCAGTAGTAGCTTGAAAATACTCTTTTTAAAGAACAGTTGCCATTAAATGATTCTAAGTGCAGTGTAGTTTGCTTTTCCTTCATTTTCTGCTCTGAACATCTTGCTTCCTGCCTTCACTCACAGCGTTTTGCTGATCTCAGCCCTGTCTTCTGAGTGAAATAAGCTTTTCATGGGCTTCAGCACTGCTGGGACAATATTGCAGTGCATGGAGACAGAGTGAGATTAATAGTATGTTAAATGAGGAGATCTGATCCTAACAAAATGGGATCAGTTGTCACTTGGTGCATTTAGACGAGTGACTGAAGAAATTCTAGGCTGGAGAAAAATATGAGTTGCCAGAGCTTGCAAATGTGAATCATTGGGTCGTCTCTGCAGGGAAGTGGCTGCATAGACCTGGGGTGCTTCACTGAGGGTACCCCTGTGCCCTCTGTACCCCTCCTCACAACCAGAGCTCTTTGCCTCGTGCTTCTTGATGGGGTTTAATGTAGCAGATCTCATTACAGCCTGTGACCATAGTAAGTCCTGTGACCTGTTTTTCTTTCCTGTGTCAGAAACAAGACTGCCAATGGGGAGTACCGGAAGGAGCACCGGGAGAGGAGTCGCAGCCCCATAGAGAGGGCTGCTGCCCCCACCATGAGCCTCCACGCCAACCACATATATGCCTCAATCCCAAGCTTGAGCATGGATCAACCCCTAGCACTGACCAAAAACAGCATGGATGCAACCCGGACAGTTGGCATCACACCTACACTGACTTCTGTGGAACGGCAGCAGGTACTGGCTTCTAGGTGGACAAAACCCTGGGGGTGGCTGTAGGAATCCAGTCTGTAGGCACCCTGAGGACACCTCAGATGGAGGCATGTTTTGGGGTGCAGTGGGGAGGCAGAACCATTCTTCAGACAAAACCTTAAAAACACACAATGAATGTCACAGCTCATTGTGTTCAGTGCGAATGAATCACTGGATTGTAAACCTGTCACAGGTTTCTTGGCCTTCCTGCCTTTGTGATGCTTTGCTAAGGTTGTGATTGCATCTGCTTTTCTTGGGAATGCAAAGCCTGTGGTTGAGCAGATCTCCAGGACCTGCTGGGCAGTGTCTGATCAGCTCACCTGGGCTCCTCTTGGCAGTCACTGCCTGCTTCCCAACCCTGTCCCAGCTGCCTCCTGCAGGGATTGCTGCAGAAGACCTGCAAGACAGAAAGGGTACCAGATTTCCCAGGTGAAAGCAGCTGGAATGACCTTAGTTGTTTCAGCCAGCCCAAAGCTTTCAGTGCTTTCTTAAGAGCAGTGTGGCATCACTATTTCATAGTGACTTCACCTAAAGCAAAGTAATGATTTTTAAATGATTTTACAGTTTATTTCCATATGCTGGAGTGTTTTGCTTTGGTTTTGCCTGGGTGGTTGGTTTTTGCTTTCCCAGCTGGTGTGTTGTGTCTGTTTTCCTTCACAAGGCTGAAGATGAGCCATCTCTCTGCAGTTTATACAACAGGTTTTCACATGTCAGACCCACTTTTATCCCTCTCACAAGTGGAGGGACAAAGGATAACTGAGTTGGGATGAGCAGTGGTGTTGAGAAATGAAAACTGGCCCATGTACCTAAGCTCTTCCTGTCCTTCCTTCCTTCCTCCTCTATTGTGATGCCCTGCAGAGGATAAACACTTTTAGGGGATGATCTTCCAGAGTTTGGGATATTTATGGTGCAGTTTATGACAGTCTCTTTTCACTGGAGCTGCACACTCTCCATCTCCAAGGAGGTTGGTGTCTTGGCTGCTCCTTCCCATGTGGCGGTGCCAGGTGCTGGACACCGGTGCTGCTGATCCCCTGCCTCACTTGGCAGGCAGATTGCAGAGCTATTATTGTTCTCTGCAGTTCTTTGCTCTCCCTTCAGTGCTGACAGAGGAGGAAGGGACAGGCTTCCACTGACGACACAGCTGCCCTTTGACAGCACCTCCCCTGCCTCCCAGCTCAGCAGCTCACACCACCGACACTCCTCTGTTGCCCATTTCCAGTTTCCTCTCTCTCTTTTGTTGTCTTTGACATTTTGAGCTAGATTACAATCTGTTTTCTTGGGAAAATGGGATGTTGAGGTAAGACCTTGCTAAGGGCACACAGTAGAAATCAGACAAACAAAAAAGTGTATTGAAAGTAAGAAACCGCAGTTTGATGATTTGTTGTTTTGGCTTTTTTAACCTTAACGTGTTGAATGGGATTTAATTTTACTGTTTCTAATAAAGAGGTGGAGAAAAAAGTATAATTTTAGGCAGACTAGGGTCATTCAGCTGCTGTAGTCAGTGTCACTAAACTCTCAGATTATCTCAGTCTTTGCATACAAACACGTACAGTTTGCTCAGTGCACCTGCACGCACAGAACCATTCCTGGGGACTCTGTAAGGTGCCTCATCCTGCCCCAGGACCTTCTGGTGTTGGTACATGTGTCCTCAGGAAAGCTTTGATATTGCTTCTCTCTGCTTCCCACCTCTTGCATGTCTGAAAATTTAAGCTTAAATACACTTGCTCAAAAGCTATCTTCAAAAATAGGTACTTCCACGCATTCTCTGCTTCCAGAAAAATCCAATTATTCAGTTTTTACTGCACTGACAGCAAAGTAGAAAGGTAAATAGGGTGTAAGTAGCATCATTCCCGTTGTATCTAAACAGGATGTTAAACCTTCCCTTGAGAAGTCATCTCTTTTTACTTCCATCTTGCTCTCACTCCCATCTAAAGCACAATTAAAACTCTTTCCTCCCTCATTGACTCTCTAGGGTGGTAGGTAAAGCAGTGATTTTTTTTTGTGGGTTTGCTGCACAGATTTGTAAAATTGACAAGAAATTTAAAGCCTGTTAATTACCTTAATACTGTTAATCTTTTGGGCACTTAATTATCTTGCACTGAGTCTAGCAAGTTGGGCTCCTTGTATCATAAAACATACCAGAGATACAAAGCAACTCTAGGGGGGGAGGAAAAGCAGTGGTTTTTTTTTGTGGGTTTGCTGCACAGATTTGTAAAATTGACAAGAAATTTAAAGCCTGTTAATTACCTTAATACTGTTAATCTTTTGGGCACTTAATTATCTTGCACTGAGTCTAGCAAGTTGGGCTCCTTGTATCATAAAACATACCAGAGATACAAAGCAAAAATATTCCAATGTTCATGTTATTTCCCTTGAGCCATCTGGAGAAACTGGGACAGGCCTTTTTACTTAAGAAGAGTATTTTATGTTGTGCAATGTATACGTTGTGGGATTAGGATTATGTGAGTAGAGGTTTTAGGGAATGTGCACGTGTTGAGACAAGAGAAAGGATGGTGCTAATTAAGTTGTGCTGGGAAGGCATTTGAGCTGCAACAGGGAAGTACTTGGGGTCAGGACTTGCTGGGGAACTCTTCAGATGTTACACCTTGGGAGGTGGTTTAGTGGCTGAAGGACAGGGTACAGAGTTAGGCCAGGAAAGCTCCACTTCTGAGTGAGAAATGATGCCATGAAATCTTGGTTAACCTGAAGAAATCAAATACCTGTAAAATTCCTAAAGCCCTTCTGAGCCCTGGAATCACAAAGAAATGCAGCACAGAATAAATCAAGTGCTTAATGTGTGGGCATTTAGTTCTGCACGTGGGATGCCTGGGAAGTTGAAACAGTCACTGTAAAATCACTTTAATGCTTTTAATGATTTGTTTTTATGCTGCCTGTTTTCTAGAGGGCCACTTGCCACTTAAATAAGCACCATTATGGAAGCGCAACGTGTCCTTTAGTCAAAGAAGTAACAGCTGCATATTGGGGGCTTTAACGTGCTTTATTGACCTGGATGGTGGATGGGATGTTTCCCTGCTGGGCTTCAGTTGGGTGTGTGTACATCTGGAGGGATGATGCAGCGACCTGGGGTGACAGTTCCCTTTTCTCTCCCGCAGAACCGTCCGTCCGTCATCACCTGCGCTTCCGCCAGCAGCCGGAACTGCAACCTGTCCCACTGCCCCATCGCGCACAGCGGCTGCGCGGCCGGGCCGGCCTACATGAGACCTGCCAACAGTAAGTGACCTGCTGCCTGGGCAGCATCATCACCTCCCTTAGCCTCAACTAACCCTTAGGTGGAACAGGAACCAAGAGAGGTGACCCTGGACACCTCTTCGTATCCCCTCCCCAGCCGGCACTCCTGTGCCACAGCACCGAGCACCAGGTCACACCTAGGGAGCCACAGGGGCTCTTTGTCTTGTCTTGAAAAGCTTCTTTAAAATAACAAACGCCCCCCACCCTCCCAGACGAATAAGTAATTTGGTTTATTTTAGATAGACTCAGCAGATACAACCCTGCTCTCATCTGAGGAGCTGTGGTTTCTTTCCCCAGTCTTTCAGCTGCCAGCAGCCTTCTAACATTCAGCTGCAGTCATGACCATCTTTCCCTTTAGCTGCAAATCCTCTTCCAAAGCCCATGCCCTCCACCTTCCTCTGCAGAGACAGCACACAAAGCTTTGCAGGGCAGTTGCTACAGCAACCCAAGCAGGGAGCTTTAGCTTTCTGCCTTCTGTGCAATTAGTGCTTTCCATGAAATCTTTTCACACAGCACTTGCTGGGGAACCTTGGGGTGTTTCTTCTCACTTTCTCTTGCTCTGCATCCCAGGGAAGGCACAGCCCCTCCCTGCCAGGTCACACACCTGCTGCTGCAGAGCTTTCACCCAGCATGGCCAGGCCCTTCCAGGCTGCTACAGCCCCCACGGGGCAGGGTAACAATACTAGCATGAGGGAGGCAGGAACCTACAGTCCAGAGTAGGGTATTAGTTGTGGGGTTTTTTTAATAACAACAAGTGTATTGTTGAAAACTACAATTAGAAGCTGAAAGGCTGAAGCAAGACATGGGTGATATATTGCTGAGAGAAATCAATAGTTTGGGATGTAAGATTTTAGGAGTTTTCTAGAAATCTGCTGTTACTCATCCCAGGAGAGCTGCTTCATTGAGCCCCTGGTTGCATTTACATGGGCTTGGGAATAGTGGTGTTTTCAGAGCATACTCGTCACTTGAAGAGGTCTTTGTGCATGACACGTTCATGTTAGGATCCATCAAGCCCTGCTGTAACATGGCCAGTGATGTGGATCCTGACCCTGTTCAGTATTTTTGAAAGATAAATCTCATTTAGCCACACAGATCCATTGTTTCTGAATGGTAAAACTGCAACTCTCTCATCCTTACTCTGAAGAATTTTTACTATTGTCATTCAAAGCCTGATTATTTTTTTTTTTAAGGTTCTTTGTTCTTCTTGTCATAGTGTTACACCATTTTAATGCTCACAGCACCTAATGCAGAGGTAGTGATGCACTTTTAGTTTTCTGAGTGGCTCCTAGAACAAGGAGGTGAAATGAGAGGGAACCCTGAGCTCAGCTGTGCCTGTGCTGTCATTTCCAGTGGAGCTGCCTCACATCTGACTGGTACCAGCAGGCTTGGCAGCTGATTTTAAAGCACTGGCTTCATCTTTAGTTCTGTTTAAGCCTAAATGTAAGTTCTGTGTGATTGTTCTGGGAGAGGGTTTCCATAGAATCTGAGCAGTAGCTGTTACTAGCTTGAGGGAGAGTTATCATTCTGTACAAAATGCTTACCTGGTGCAGGTCACAGAAATGCAAAGATGTTTAACTCCATTTATTACGTTTTGTTTCACTCCTGTCACCTTCTTCCCCACCCCATTCACTACCAGTTCTCTAATGATGTCAAGATGTTTTGCTTTAATGCTGACGTCATGGTAGGAAATGTTGCATAGAGTGATAGGATGAGGGGGATGGCTTTAAACTGGAAGAGGGGAGATTTAGGTGAGACATGAAGAGAAAATTCTTCACTATGAGGGTGGTGAGACCCTGGACCAGGGAAGCTGTGGCTGCCCCATCCTTGGAAGTGTTGAAGGGCAGGTTGGATGGGGCTTGGAGCAGCTTGGGCTGGTGGGAGGTGTCCCTGCCCATGCAGGGGGGTTGGATCTGGATGAGCTTTAGGGTCTCAGTGTGGGATGCTGTGAGAAGGGGGGTCCTGCATGCAGTGCCTGCTGGCAGGACCCTGCCCTGACGCAGCCTGTGCCTCTCCCCGCAGCCAGCGCTGCCTGCGACCCGGTGGTGGAGGAGCATTTCCGCCGCAGCCTCGGCAAGAACTACAAGGAGCCTGAGCCCGTGGCAAACTCTGTGTCCATCACAGGAACAGTTGACGACCACTTTGCCAAAGCACTTGGGGACACGTGGCTGCAGATCAAAGCTGCCAAGGACGGAGTCTCCAGCAGTCCCGAGTCTGCCTCCCGGCGGGGCCAGGCCTCCCCTTCCTCCCACATGGTCAATCACAATCACTCGCCCTCTGTGGTCTCATGAAGAGGACCCTCACCTCGGGGGATTTGCATGGTTTGACTGAGCTTTGAACAGGGCTTCAATAGTGTTGGGGGAGGGGAGATGAGTTTTTCAACACACGTTTTTGTGTACTCACTTTTTATTTGTAAAAGGGTGCCCTTAACAGATGATAGCAGGAACTATTTCGTAAAGATTCAGATGATGTAGCATCCTTTTGTTGTTTTTTTTCCTGCCTCAGTTACCAAAGAAACCTCTGATGCAAATCTGCTGCCCCTTACAAAGTAATGCACACTAATCCACAAAAGCCATTACTCTTAGTTGGTTGACCCAAATGCTTTTTGCTTTTACTAGCTTCTTGAGACTAGAATTTGTCTGGTTTGCTTACATTGCCTTTTTTTTTTTCCCTCTGTGAAGTAATTTTGTATGTATATACTTGAAAAGAACTGTCATGTATGATTTGCACTATTGGAGGAGGACTGAAGTTGCACAGCAACTTTCTGGAAGATGCTAATATTTTGAGGGCAAACTGCTGAAAAAAGGGTTTAAGGATGACATTTCTATCAGTTTGATTTTTTCTTAAAAGCAAAACAGCTTTGGAAGGGGAAGTCTCATACAGGTTATAGGTCTTTCTCTCTTTAGATTTCAGGTGCTTAGTGCTTGCAACTGGACTGCATAATTTACAGAACACGGGCATTTTTTCCTAAACACTGCAGTTTGTTAGAATAGAGCTGAGGTTGGAGGGTTCAATAGTGCTTAACGATGCATGTTTTATGAAAAATAGCTGGTATCTATTAATGTATAGACAGTAAGAATCATAATACTTATTAGCTTTTCTTCAGAATTAGTTTATTTTTGTCAGTAACAATCCTAGATATACTTACTGCTGGTACAGTTGTACTCTTATGATATTTGTATTTGATACTCACTCTAGTAGCAGCCAGCAAAGAGCTCAGCCTCAGGACAGGCCTCAGACAATGCAGTTCCGAGCTGGTGCAGACTGGTGCAGACTGGTGCAGCTTCACCCCTGGCTGAGTCCCTGCTCCTGGCTGCTCCACAGGGATCTGCTTCCTAAACCAAGTCTGTGTGATCCACCTGGAACCAGCTGCAGGAACTGCTACCGTTGCGTATCTTGGCTGCACCACAGATTGTTACAGTTTGTGAAATATGATCTTTGAATATTTTTCTTTGTTAAGCTTTTTCATAAACCTATGCCAAGTTGCAGCATACATTCCTCCATTAGCAAACTTTATACAGGTATTACTGCATTTATTATCATTTGCTATATTAATAGCTACTAACTAGAAATTAGGCAATAGAGGCAGGCATAGAACCACAGCTGTGCTAGTACTAAGAGCTTCTCTTCTTGTTAAGTGTAACTACTCTCCCCCAGACATTCCATCTTCCCAGTACAACTTCCCAGTTGCAACTAGGGCTTTTTTTTTATACTGGGTTACCTGAAACGATTGGTTCAGTGTAGAAAGTTAGAACTAGTTGGAAGATGAACTACACGTGATGTATTATGGACTATGTTACAGTATTGGGTCCATTGTGGCTTTTATTTTATGGTTGTTTTTCTTTCAAGTTAAGCTATTTAATTTGGTCAAAGGTGCAGGGTAGAAGGAGATCAGGAGATTGGCTCTTACTCTGGTTGAGAAGGTGGCTGCTCAATTTTTTTAAAAAAATGGAAAAAAAAAAAAAAAACACCACACAAAAAACACTCAAGCCCCCAGTTTTACACATTTCACTACCATCTTACTGGGTAGTCAACGCTTCCTTGCTTTGGCATTCAGTACCCTACTCTGTAGGAAGATTGTTAAGAGAACACTTTTTTATATAGGTAACTTTAAGACCATCGTTACGCTGTGCGTAAAGAATGTACAGAGAAATTTGTAGGTATTTTTTGAGGAACAATTAATTTGTTAATGATATGTAGCTATTTAATTTTTTTCCCTTTCCTTTATTGTAATCATTCATTATTATTTTTTTTTTTTCATTTTGTTTGGAGAAAAAAGTTGATCTTTTTTTTTTTGTCTGTTTGTTGTAGATTTGTCTGTAATACAGTAAAAGTGCAGGAACACAGTTATTCTATGAGAACACTGCATTAGCATTAATAGCCACTAGTTTGTTATTGCTACAGGCTACTGAGCATTGTAACAGTAAAATACTAATACTGTAGATGGACTCTGTGGAAAATGTGACTCCTATATTTCTTTGTCAACACAAATCATGTTTTTAAAGCTAATATTTTCAATAATAGCTGTTTTACACGGTTACATTTACTTATCTGAGATAGGTAAATGGATTTGAGGGCAATAAAGATTTCATGTGATATGTTCCAGTAAAATGTCTGTTAGACATAATCACGTCCTGAAAAGCCAAAGGGTTGGGGGGGAGGTGGCAGGAAACTCAACTGAACTCACCACCTGAGGGGTGGTGAAGTTTCTTCGCAGAGCCAGGTTCTCTACAGTTCAGTTTGAAAGATTCTCTGTGTTTGTAAATCTGTAATATACCTTCTGTGGCCTCGTTTCACCTGGGAAACAACAAAGGTTTGGCAGGCCCTCCTTTTTTTTTTTTTTTTCCCCTTTTTTTTTTTTTTTTTTTTTTTTGTACTTAAAAGTAGCCTTAAAGAACAATAAAGTGCTCTTAAATCACAGGGGTGTGCATGATCTTCTGTGCTGCCTGGGGAGACAGGAGCTTGGGGTCTGTGCTTCACCAGCTGGAAGCAGAAACAAGCTGCTGTTCCTGTCGTGTTGTCCTGACAGGACAGGTGGGTGGGACTGGGGTGTAGGAACAAGCTGCACCTACAGCAGAGATGGGGGGAAACACCCCTGACTTTGGGAGGACATCTCAGGCCACCCAGCAGGTCCTGGAGCATCTGCCCAGCATTGCTCTCCTTGGGGGCTGTTCCTGTTCCTAACGTAGGCACCAGGAGCAGCTCCCGGACAGGGACCCTTTGGGAAAGGCTCAGCTAGTCCAGCATTTCTGTCTGGAATGTTTGTTTCTGAAAGCCCAGGACCTTGCTTTGATTTTCTTTTATTCCTCAACTGCAAGTTTTACCTAGAGGACAGAAATGCTGCCCTGAAGATGAGCTGTATTTCCACCCACGCTCTCGTGTTTTGGGTGAGCAGCATTTCACTGCCAGCTCTTCATTTGGACAATGTTAATCCTTAAAAAAAATAAATCAATGCTCTAATTACCTGATTTTGAGAAAGTTCAGTTGAAGCAAGGAAGAGCCTTCAGAGGAGTTTCAGCCTGGAATGTAGCAGAGGTGTCTCCAGGATAAAAAAAGGAACCCTCTAAAAAAAAAAAGAGATACAAGTTCCTGTTGTGTCAGAAGATCCTGAATGGTCTGAAACCCCAGGCAAGTGTGTTGGGCATGTGCAGCCCTGCAGCCACTGGCTATTCCTGGGGTGTGGGAGATTCCATGAGAACACATCAAGAATGATTAGTTTAACACATCTGAAAAACATCCCTCTCTAAATACCCATGGAAAGCAGCCTAAATACAGGCTTTAAGAGCTTTTGGGAGGGAGGCCAACTCCAACAAGCCTCACACGCCTCTCAGTCTGCCTGCTGAGGGGAGCTGGTTTCCTTTTAGGAAAAAGTCATCCCTACATCAACAGTTTGGGGGCTACATGAACCAGGCCCAGCAGCATTGCTATCTTTCAGGTCAGTAACTTCTTGAGTGTTCTGTTTTCTACACGGTGAAAGGAAAAAAACAGTAATTCTTTTTTCCTACCACATGACTTTTCTAATGAGCAGCCAGCAGTAATTTTGCACAAAGGGGTAGTGCCTGGGCCTAGGCAACCTGGACCAGACACACACCTAGTGAGAGCTCCACTGTCTGGAAAAGCTCACCTTTCTCTTCCAGCTGAACTAAAGGCAACTTCCAGCTCTGTGTTTGTAATCCCCCTTCCCCCCCCTTATTTTTACTGATAAACCAGCATTTTAATTTTAGAAAACAGACCTGACATCACAAATACACAAGGGATTAAGTTTGGCTCTTTCTGGTCAGGGTCCTGAACACAACTGCTGAGCTGCCAGCTGTTTTAGTTGTGAAAATGAACTTTATGTACCAGTAACTAGAAGTAGGACAGACCCTGACAGACACCAGTGGTTCAACAGCAGCGTTTCATGGTGTGTAGGCACGTTGGCAGTGGTTGCTCCCTTGCTGACCCTGTTCTGGCAGCATCCCTGGTAAATAACCACCAAACCTCCCCAGCAGATCCTGTGTCTGACCCATAGGGCTGACTGGACCTCACGCAAGGTGTATTTCCTTTAAAGCTGCATCCACACCAAGCAGCAAATGGAGTGTCCAGGGGGTACCAGGGTCTGTGATCCCACCAGGCTCTGTGCTGACTGCAGCACATGGTGGCTGCAGAGGTTCCTGCCTCTGCTGCAGAGACCCTGCTGTGCAGCTGCTGGGCTGTAAAACTGGCACTTGCACTAAACTCCAAACTGTCACCAGGGCCCTGTCATGGGTGGGGCTGTCACTGCACTGGGGCTGTCACTGCAGCAGGGCTGAGCACTGCCAGAGGGGTGCAGGGGGTGGGAACCAATCCAGCTGCTCCTTGGAAGCCAAATCAGTCAACAGAGAAAAGATGTCAAACTGTCCTTCAGCCCTGTCCAGCAGCCTCAGAGCAAGGGCAGAGCTGGGAGAACCCACTGCTCACGCTGTGCTAAGTCCTTGGGCTACCTGAGGTGTCCCAGGGAGGCTGTGAATGGAGACTGTGCTGTGCTGCTTAAGCTGATACCCTGGCAGAGCTCACCACAAGTACTTTAGCTGTTAACTGGGCAAGAGCTCTGCTCACCAGAGCTGGCACCTTCATGCTTGGCTGCGGAGAACTTTCACCACTATCTTTAGATCCTTCTTGAGGAACAGTGAAAGCAGAGACCAGCCTGCACCATCCTGATGCACAGGAGCTCTTCTTTCATCTGGCTTTGACAGAGCCAGGGATGTCACTCCCGGGGGCTCCAGCTCCTCCCTTAGCAGAGGGTTATTCCCCAGCTGGAGTGCAGTGTGTGGTGGAGCACTTTACCCCTGAAGGAGCCATGACAGAAGATACACCCATTTAATAACTAAATCATTCTTTAACCTCTCCTTTACTGGGAACATGCTGCCCCTCTGTGCAACAGCTATCCCAAGTGCATTTTTTGGCCATAAGACAGCCAAGATAGATAATTTAATGGCTTATTTTTAACATCAGTTACACAGAGCTCCACACTGGCTGGCTCGTGCCAGCTCTTCTGCTCTCTGGTGGTCTCCTGACCCAGCACAGCACTATGTGTCTCCAGAGATGCAGGAGGGAGAGCTCCTGTCTCAGGAGTATGTTCACCTCCTATGCTAGAGGAGCCCTTTTCCAGGGTTTTTACACCCAGGAGAGCTGCAGGGTGGCTCTCAGAGGCAGCACTGCTCACCAAGAGTGACATTTAATACACAGGTATTTATTTTCAAGGCACAAGCCTTGAAAGAGACCAGCAGACCCAGCTAGATGGCACTTACCTCTGGCAAACCCAGGACTGTCACCATTTCAGTGTGTGGCCTTCCCACTGGTGCTCAACCTTCTGCCTGGGAACCTCCCTGAGCAGTGCAGCTCCTGAGCACTAATCCGGCCCAGCCACAGTCCCAGGGAGATGCTGCCACTAACCAGGCATTTCTGTAGGAAAAGTAGAGGGAGGGCAAGTAATTTCATCCCTGATCTAAACCCACAGACACAACTTCTTTCTCCAGTTCTCTAATTTCAGATTTGCTCTGAGACATTTAATAGTTTGCAGCAAACTCAGGTGTCTTTCCAGCACCCCCAGCACAGGCTGAAGGCACCAGCAGCAGCCTGAGCCCAGTGCAGAGCAGTCACTGCAACAACTCTGCTGAAATCACACGACCATAAACTAAACTTCAGCCTTAATTAAAAGCCAAGGACAAATCTGGTCCCGGTACATTTTATCTGACATATAAAGGGCAGGAAGAGCACCTTGAACCAGCTCAGAATCTTCCATGGAGCTTTGGAGCTCTTAGTTCAAAACTACAGTTTGAATCCCTGAGTCTTCAGTCTTCAACAAAACCATTCTAATCAGGGGATTAGAAGGGATGTGCTTCCTTTGCAGAAACCCCTAGGGCCAGAAAGGTGTGCTGCAAGGAGCACAGCAGCACCCAGTGACCCTGCTCCTGTCCTCTGGGACCCCTCTGCATGCTCTCACTGCCTCAGGCAAAGCACTTGCACTGTATTCCTGAACTGCACTTACAGGATTTTTCCTCTCAGAACTTCCACACCGGTAAATATTGACCTAAAAGGCACAGCTCTTGGTGGACCAGCATGGTGGCATTCATGAAGGGGACAAGATGCTCCACTGAGACCATCGTGGAAGTCTCCAGTGAGGGTTTATGCTTGACATGGACACACCTCAAAGAGAAACAAGAGCAGCAGCTCTCCAGCTACACCCCACCTGGAGACACACACAGTGGGACCAGTGCCAGGCTGTTCCCAAGGCAAGCTCCTCCTGTGCTGCTCCTTCAAGGGGACAACATGACACTGAGGGCAGCCTCCAGCCCCTTCTGACTGCAGCATCCCCAAGGATCCTAGGGAGGAAATGCTCATCTTTTCCTTTGTGACACAATCAGGAGCCCAGTTCATCAGGCAACAATGCACTAACTCAGGGATTTTTACAGCTGCTAATTGCTGTA